ATACCAGAGAGGGTTCCCAGTGGTCAGCAGTCCAGCTGACATTTCCTTGACCCCACCTGGCCACCCTCCACCCCCATCTGTAGGAAGTCAGGGCGGGGTTCCCCAGAGGGCCTAACTCCTCTTTTCACCAGTGGCCCCTGTCTCAGCCCCATGAGCTGGCAGCTTCTCAGATGGCCACCCGAATGGAGGATAGTGGGGGCTTGAGGCTGCTCTGAGCCCCCAGCCCCTCACCCCAAACAAATAACACCTCCCCAAACCCACTGAGTTGATTCTGGCATGCAGTGACCTGATGGGACAGAGGAGGACTGCCCCTTTGACTTCCTGAAGCTATGCACCCTTACGGAAGAGACAACTCTATCTTTCTCCCAGGGAGAGGGTTTGAACGGCTGGCCTTTCCGTTAGCAGCCCCACGATGCCCATGATGTCACCAGCCTGCCTTGCTTCCCATCTGAACAAGGCACAGTAAACCCACCCCTAGCCTCTCAGAGGAGCCCTGTAGGGGCAGCAGATTAGCTGCTGGGCTACTGCCTGCAAGGTGAGCAAGTGGGACCAGCAGCCCGTGGGAGACGGAGGAGCCCTCCTGCTCCCGGGAAGAGCTCCAGCTCCAGAGACCTCTGGGGGCAGGCCCACCCCCCTGAGAGGGCCCCAGGGGTCAGAATCCACTCAGCGGTAGCGAGTTTGGTTTTGAGGGTTTGGGGCAGCCTGGGCCGGGCGCACAGGGATGCCTGATCTGCCTTCCTCTGACCTGCCTTCCTTGTCTGCTCGCTGCCCCGCTGTGCAGACCCACCTCGTCAGGGGGCTGATCCAGTTCGTCTGGACGTGGGTCGTCTCATAGATCAGACTCCACTCGTCCTTGATCCAGGTGCACAGGTACAGAGGGTTGAAGAAGAACCGGAGGAACTGCGGGGAGCGGGGAGGAGGAGCTGAGGAGCTGGTGGGGGGCAGGGGAAGGACCTGAGGCCTGAGGAAAGCAGGAATGCCCGGGGGGCTGGGCTGCCTCGGGCACAGCCCCCAGTTTTAGGGAACAGAGTGGCAGGGAGACTGGCCCATGGCCATCCTACAGGGCTTCTGGGAAGCCAGTGGGCCACACCGCAAAGAGGAAGTGGCCCCCTGAAGCAGGGACAGCTCAGCCAGGCCCTCTCCCCCTGTCAGGGTGCAAAGACCCCACCACTTTGCCCCCATCGCCCCCTCTCTCCTGTTCTGCCCCTTCTCAGTTTCATCTGCCCCCTCCCTCCCTCAGGCATCCCTGGCCTACTCACCAGGCTCCACCCACCCAGGCTGCTGGCCTACTTGCCACCCTGGGGTGAGGGAAGGTGTGGGGGCAGCCCCCACAGGAGACCGCACTGGAGGGCAGGCAGGTAGGTGGACAGAGTGGGTGGACTCCATCAGCAAGTGAAGGCGCGAGGCCTGGGGGCCTGCGAGACCACTCAGTCCCCTCTGGGCAGTGTCCCCAGACTGTGACACCCCAGAATGGCAGGCAACTGCCCCTGCAAGGCCACAGCAGGGGTCTGGAGGTCCAGCTGGGACCACCGTCTTTCTGCAGTGTCACTGCTGGCTGTGTCACTCTGGTCACAGCGCTGGCAGAGGGTGGCCAGCCGATCATGAGCGTTTGTTCCTGTCAAGCCAAGGCTGGCCGCCTCCCCAGAGCCCTGAAGGGCGGGGGCTCCAATGAGGGTCTCGAGATGGCCCTCAGAGCACTGAGCACACGGTCCTCCTCACGGCGGGTATCTCCCAGGCAAGGGGCCTCCAGGGGAAGGGTCTTCCTGGGTCTGGGTGCTTCTGGGTAAGGGGCCTCCAGGGTGCAGATCTTCCTGGGTCAGGTCCTTCCAGCCCTGGGTCCTCATGAGGGAGGCTTCTTTAGGGTAAGGCTTCTCCCAGGCCTGGCAGCTGTTATGCCCCGAGGTGGTTGAGGAGGAGCAGGCTGGCTCCCACCTGGGCTTGAGAGCCTGTTCCACCCCTGACACACTGTCATGGGGGCACCTTTTAGGACTCCCTGTGCCCCGCTTCCCCACAGGGCCTGCTCTGTCCCCAGGGGCCTGTACCCAGCTCCATGCAGCAGCAAGTGGGAAGGCACAGGTGTGGCCTGGGCAGGGCAGGTGGGCCACTGTGGGGGCCTCTCCTGAGCAGCCTGCCCTCAGAGTCTGTCCTGGCTGGTGCCAGCTTGTGAATCCAGAGGACCAGGCATAGCTGTCTGAGTCCAGACTCTCCTGATGGCCAGGCAAGGACTCCCTGCCCTGACTTATGCCTCATCACCAGCCGGTACTGCCCCAGGCAGCACTAAGGACCTGGTGTCACTGATCCCAGGAGAACAGCCCATGGGCAGCGAGGGCCAGCGATGACACTCGGGGTAGAGTGGAACAGCAAGGGGCAGTGAGGGACAGTAGTGGTCAGAGAGGGCAGCGGACAGTAGGCAGAGAGGTCAGAGTTCTGAAGCTTAGCCTATTAAGGGGCAGCGAGGGCAGCAAGGGGAAGCAGAGGGCAGTGAGGGGCAGCAGTGGGCAGTGAGGGGCAGCAAGGGCAGAGAGGGCAGCGATGGGCAGCAGGGGGCAGTAAGGGGAGGGTGCTTGGGCCTTTTACACACAGATGACTCCACAGAGACTAAAGGTCATGATGGAGGGGTGGAGCTTGGCCCTTGGGTATAGAACCAGAACTTCAGCCCCCAACCCCTGTGGGTGCCCCCCTGCAGCTCCGCAGGGGGAGGAGGGTGGGCGGCGGCTGCTGACCTTACACATCTTGTCCAGGGGTTGGGACTTGATGATCTTGCAGAAGAGCTGGAAGCCGAGCTCCTCCAGCTGGAAGGTGGCCAGGTAGCAGATCACTGAGGACATGGGGACAGCGTGAGCATGGGCTGAGCAGGCCACCGCCCCACAGAAGGCCTCGGGCCCACCCGGATTCCGGCCCAGTGGCGTGGCCACAGTGTGTGTGGTGCCTGAGCAAAGCCACCAGCTGCCACCCAGGTGACCAGGTTATCCCCAAGCAAGGGCATTGCTCTGAGACCCACGAGTACTGTGGGCAGAGTCCAGTGGTCCAGGTCCCTGGGGGATGAGCTGAGGACACAGTGGGCTCCGGCATTTGCATGTGGAGACATGCGATGTCCCTCCAGGGAGACTAGGGAGTTGAATATTCCTGGGCTTGGAGCCAGGTCCTTGGAGCCAGGCCCATTCTGTGCCACCTGGTGTGAGCTCCAAGGATGCTGATGGGGGCAGCGGCCTCCTAGCCCTGGGTAGGGATGAACCTCACCCAGGGGAGACAGTTGCCACCCTTCAGGAAGTCGCATGGAGAAGGCAACTCATCTCAGTCTCCACCCTCTGGAGAGTCCAAACTGCGTCTACAAGCCTGCCCGCAGGCCTTGAGGTCAGAGGTCAGGAGCTTAGCCTGTGAAGGGATGGTCACTTTGCCCAAGCTGGTCTCTTCTGGGGCATTTTCTCTCAGCCTTGTCTGTGCCCCTGACTTTGGGGTCCTGGCTATGTCTGCTGAGGCTGGCTGCATCCACCTCACAGACTCAGTGTGCAGGTCTGTAGGGTCGGGGACCACCCCCAGCCCACCCACTCAGGGGACCAGTCCTGAGGGGCATGTGAGGTGAGGGCTGTGGAAGCCCCCAGGGAGCAGAAGCCAGGTGGCCAGGGGGCCAGTACTGACCCTCGAAGAGATGGTAGTCCACCCACAGGCAGAACCGCCCATCCCGCACGTAGAAGGCGTCCACCACGACCTTCAGCAACTTCCGGTACTCCAGGCAGCCGGACAGGACCTCCAGGATAAACACCTGCTGCGGGGGGCTCAACGTCTGTGAGGGTGACAGGTAAAGAAGGCCACTAATGGGACACTGCCAAGGGGGCCGGGAGGGAGGCGGCAGGTGGCAGTGGCCTCGAGGTCATGAACCCAGGAGCCCCCTGACCCGAAGGGCCCAGGTGCCCTTGCACGTGTGCCAGTAAGGTGGGTGCAGAGAGGCAGACAGATAAACAGGGGCCAGGTGAGACTCTTCAGAGGAGAGCCAGCTTGCCAACCAAAGGCTGCCAGGTGACAGCTGGCTAGGAGAGGGTGCTGTGGGGCATGGGGGGAGCAGGCTTTGGGTTTGTGTCCAGCCCAGGTGGTACTCGCGACCTTTTCAGACCAGGGACGGGGTTCTGGAAGAGAAGACAGGAGGAGGAGGCTGCGGAGACAGCAGGCAGAGAGGGCAGCGACTGGTGGGGACAGATACTGTCAGCCTTCCCAGAAAGTGACTGGGGAGGGAGGGGGGGTGTCAGGAACCTTGCATTTTCCCGGCTCTTTAATCCTGTGATTACACTTCTGGGAATCAAAGGGAATCGTCCAGGAGGGAGGTCGCAGTCAGGCATAAGCATAATTTATGCTAAATAAGCATAAGCCAGGGTGATGGAAAACGCGCGCGCGCGCGCGCACAGACATGTCCAGCAGAAAGGCGGGGGGCTGTGGTGGTGACTGTGTAGCCCAAATGGCTAGGCGCTTGGCTGCCGCTGGTTCAGATCCACCCAGAGGTCACAGCCATGAAAACTCTTTAGATCAGCGGTTCTCCCCCTTCCTCATGCCGCAACCCTACCATACAGGTCCTCCTGTGGTGGTGAGCCCCCAACCATAACATTATTTTTGTTGCTACTTCATCACTGTCATTTTGCCACTGTTATGAATCAGGCAACCCCTGTGAAAGGGTCCTTTGACCCCTAAAGGGGTCACGACCCACAGTTTGAGAACCACTGCTTTAGCGCACGGGGCTCTGCACACAAGTCTGAATCGACCGCCCAGCAACTATGACTCCACAGCCAGAGCCCAGTGCTCAGCAGCCAGTAAGCGATGCTTCTGGGAAACTCATAAGGAGACTGCACAAGGCACTCGTTGATACAATGTCCCGAGGAGACCCAGCAGGATCCCAGCTACATTGCCACTGCTGCTGTGTGGAGGGAGGGAAACAACATTAGCAGTGAGGGATTCTGGGAAAGCTTAATTTCTCCTTGTGGGGTGGGGTGTATTGTGGGTTAAGAGACACTAGCAACAAAAGTATTGCTGTTTGAACCATTTCCATAACCATTTCCAAGTTAATGGCCTGGGTGAGGCAGTGATGCCAGCACCATGATCCACTTCCGGAAGTTTGGCATCACCCCGAAATAGCAACAGTTCGGCCCCCTCCACTGGTCCTCAGTGTACGTCTGCTGGGCAAGGCAGCTGTCTAGGGCTGGCCCCTGGGTCTGGTCACAGCCGGAGTCCAGGCCCCTTGCGGGAGGGTCCTCCCTGGCTCTGCTGTCTGAGCCTGGCTGTGTCCTCTGGAGTTGGCCCCCCAACTCGTCTCCCTCCCAGATTGCCCCTGAGCTCCGGCCGCAGCCACTGTGGCGCTCCCAAGCCTAGCTTCTCCCACCTTGGACTTTCTCTGTTTTGTCTAAGAAGCCCAGGGCCCTGGGGTGGCTGCTGCTTCAGGGCATCCAAGCCAGTGACTGGCTGGCTGGGGTGCTGCCCACAGGCACCCCCACCTCCCCCTCTTCACTCCACTCATACCCTGTAGCCTTGAAGCTGGCTGCGGCAGTTCCACCACTTAATCCCAGCCAGTCTGGGATTGTCCACACACAGTTTTCACCCGGCTGAACTCTGAGCCCGCAGAGGCCAGCTCCAATGCCACCATTCCCTGGTGTGTGTGTGTGTATGGGGGGAGGGGTCCTGGAGGGCACAGGGCCCACCAGGAAGCAGGCAGGTGCCAGTAAGTGACACGCACCAGGCTGGGCCTGTGGCCAGGTCTCACCAATGGGGAAAGGAGGCAGGGCGCCGTGTGTGCGTGCGGGAAGCTGCAGGGGACATGTGGAGCCCTAAGTGGTCCACAGAGAGGGGACTGAGGGCTGGGAAAGAGACACACCTGGTCACAGGGCCCGCCCTCCTCTTCCCCCATCCCCCCTAACTTGACCCAGCCCAGGCTTGGCTGCCTCCAGGCAGCGGAGGCCCCAGTCCCAGGCAGAGGCTTCCGGGTCAGGACTCTGAGCATTCCCTAGTCACTGAGGTCAAGGTGGGCTTTGGGGTCAGGGTTCTGAGCTGCCCCCACTCACTGAGGTGAGGGGGCTTCAGGATCAGGGCTCTGATTGGGATGGTGTCCTGGGAGAAGAGTGCTTATCCCAGACTCCCAGGGAGTCCTATGCACAGGCTGGGTGCCAGGGCTCTCCCTGCTGGGTCCCAGCTGTAGCCGGAGGGTGCCTATGCAGAGAGGCCGACTGCGTGCGCCCCAGGAGTCCATGGTCACCTCCAGCAAAGCCACCACCTGCCACGACCACATCTGTCCCCACAGCCCTGCCTGAGACCCTGGGTATCCCCACCATGCCCCCACCACAGCCCTGACCACACAGTCCTGGGTCTCCATCCCCCTACCCAGCTGTGCCTGCAGCCCTGCTGGCAGCCCCGGAGCTCCCTGTCCATACCCCTCCCCCCACTCCATCTTGCCTGCAGGGGTTCCCTGTGGGGGCTCCTCA